CCTGCGTGTTTGTCCCTGGCCGTTGTGGAGCCCCTTGAACACATATTGGTTGTCAGTGATGATGTGCGCGGGCCCGTCGAGGCGGAGAGCATGGACGGCAGCTAACAATTCCCCTTCTTGGCCGTTTGTTTGCCAGGAACGGTACCACAACGAATTTTGTGGCCAAGCTTGATCATCGTAAGGCACGAGCCCCCCAGCCAATGCGTCGGAGCCTGGGGTCGGAGGTGCATCTGCCTGCCGACGCATCAACGCCTACAATGCGCCATTCTGTGAATTGAAGTGGCATTCAAGTACTCCAGTTACCTGCACATTTGAGCTGCCGTGGAAATTGTCTCCTATATCCACCGTGTGCTCCTGGGGCTGGAGACCTCTTAGCCACTTGGCCGAGTTGTCGGGACTTTCCGCCGCGGCTCGGTCTCGCAAATGCTGGCTTTCATGGCTGTCTGGGCATTGGGCGGCCAAGTTCTGCTAGCTTCGGGCACGTCCAGTAGCAGTGCAATGCGGTCTCCTTCTCTGGCTCACATCTCCTTCTCTGGCTCCCCCTTCATGCCTGCATGGAACCTTGTTTCCCCGTGCCGCACGACCCCCCTGGCGACAGCCCGAGCAGCACGAATGTGATAGCCGTCTTCAGCCTCGTCCTGCTTCCAGGATCGGAGGATCTCATGGTGTAGATACGCGTCAGCACTACCCTGAAGACCTGAACCGCGATAGTACTGAGAGGCCTGGGTCCAATACTTCTGATGAGTACATCTGGTAAGCTCTTTAATAATGCTCTCCTGTCCATCCTTGGCTCCATGCTTGACTTTAAGTAGATGCTTGCCGGGGCTGGTCCACATCCAGGCCGTCGAAGCTTCCCAGCCGAAATCGAGGCGCATGGCAATGACAGCCGAGAAGAGAGAGAGATATCACCTTGCTCCACCTGCCCTCTTTGATCCTCATGCTGCCCCAGGCTGTCCTCCAAGCCCGAGACACCCTATTGTGAATACTAGGCTCCTGCTCCAAGACACTGAACCACATGCGAACGCCAAGACACTGAACCACATGCGAAAGCAGGCAAGAGGCATGTAAAATCCTGGATCAGTCTCCAGAGTGCCGTTGGGGGAGGGGGCGCAAGCAGTTGTTGTGCAACCCGTTTCGGCAGTAAGTCCCATATTTCGACGGAGTTTGCCCCGCAGAAGCCGAGCCCGAGTATGAGCCTTTCCGTGGCCTTGAAAGCCCCGCAGCAGTTGGGGCTTGGCACCTGTTGAAACAAGAACTCGAAGGCGTCGTCGTCCCTGGGATAACTTACTCATGTTGGTGAGCCTCTTGGAGCCCTTGGTCTGCCTGATCTTCCGAACCCCGGGACGCCGGATTTTGCCCGAAGTAGCGTCGCACCTGACCCCCCGCCCAGCTTCCTGGATCTGCACAGGGGCCCCAAGGAGATACAGCTCATGGGACACCGCACTGGCCAGGTAGGGCGACGATGCCATGATGCAACCTTCGGTGAAAGCTGGTACCCAGCCTTTTTGAGCGACAGGGCAAGCGATGGCCCGCGGTGATGGCCTCTTCCGAGGCCCACATGCGCACCTTGAGATCGTCGACCCAGGTGCGGAAGGGGGGGCGCTTGAAACGATGATGAAACTCATTGAGAATATTGTGCAGCAGTGCCCGCGCAAGTGAGCAATTCTGCCCGCGACCTTGCAGGGCCGACGAGTCTGGAATCCCGAACTTCGAGCACCCGGTGTCCGATGTGAGTGCGCGAACGGCTCTGTGAACAACCAGGTCGAGACCAAGGGGAGGTTTGGGATAATCCAGTTTGGGGGCATGAGTAGCGCAAATCTCCGTGATGATTGTGTCGAACAACTTTTCCACATCCAGGAGGGCCTCGGCCATCGGGACCCCCCCCGCGTTGCCGATCTCAGCGGGCATTTCGGATAGAACAGCAGCCCTCAGGGGCTCGTTACCTTTCAGGGCCCGGCCCAAAACTCCAGCCGCGGCGATGTCCCACTGCGACAACGCTAAGCGAAAAAGCTTACAAACTACACGGTAGAGGCCACGCGTCAGCGCGAGGGGCTTGTCGGAGGTCTCATTCTTTGGCTGCGAGAACATGCAAGTGAGCAAAACCTGAATCGTCAACTGCACGTTTGCAATGATCAGGTTGACGAGAGCGGCAAAAGGTTGGCGGCCCTCGGGCGGGGCAGCAGGAAATCCCTGACTCTCCAGCCATCTCCGCCTGGTGCTGCCGTCGAGGAGTACAGAGTCACAACTTCAAATATCTCGTTGACGTCCAGGGTTCCCCAATGATGTGGCAAGGAGGCTGTTCTTCCGTGCTTGGGCGCAGGCGATAACAATTGCTTCCAGGTAAAACAGGGGCAGGAGCCGCGCGTAGACCAATGGTTTTCGCATGCGATGCCCTTCTGGCTTCTGCTGGAGGTCCACTCCCCTGCGCAACTGGGCGCAGAGGTCACCCGCGCCTTGAGAGTGATGCCGATGGCAAACAGGATGGTGCGGGAGTCCTATGTGGCCGACCTCCAAGACAGCCTTCCCAAAACAGTGATCCCATTCACGACAAGGCCCCAGGGCTTGAGGAATAGGAGCGGGCTTCTCAAGAGCCCAGATACGCTTCTCTAGAGCGGTTCGTTCGAAGTGGAGTTGGAGCGGGATGTGGGGCGCCCATGGCCCCTCGAGGCCCCCAATAACTTCGATTTCCAAAGCCAGCCTCTCATCGATGATGAAATAGTCGATGGTAGTCCCCCCATCTGATTAGTGTCAGGAACACCGGCCAACGATAGAACCCCGTCAATCCTATTAGAACTCCTGTCTGCTCCACGGTCGCCAGCGGCATGTTGAAATGTCCCCCTATGATGTAGGGCGTGCGCATCTGGCGAATGAAGGTGGGGCGATCGTAGCATTCTCTCCCGCGTAGCCTATGAAGCCCCAGAGGTACGCGCCTAAGATCGGGATGCCAATTCCCTGGGGCCTCAAGACAAAGCTGGGCCAGTGGGTACCCGAAACCATCGGTGCAGCCTTGCTTATGGCCTGAATGAATATATCGCGCGCGTGTAACTGCGTCCTGGCCCAAACCAGGAGACCTCCATGAGTGCCTCCTCTAGTAGGACTAGCAGGGCACGCGCATGTATTCCAAGACGCTTCCCTCATCTTCTCCCGGAGTTTAGGCAGGTCCCCTCCAGACTTACGAACATCAGTCACAATAAAGCTGTGAACATCGGGCACCTTTGAGATCCCATTGGCGTCCTTGGCACAAAAGAAATCCTCTGCCTTGGCCAGGAAGATCTTGATGCTACCCGAACTGGTGAACTTGACCTGGGGGCTGGGGGTGCTGCACTGGCGGAGGCTGCAGTGGATACTGAGCGTGGGCTGCCGCGGCTGGCGGGGCGGCGGCTGCCGCGGCCACGCCTGCACCTGCATGGCGGACATCGGCGGGTGCTGCGGGCCCCCCCTGGGGGGTGGGCGTGGGGCGGGTGCGGCTGGACGCCACCACCAGCACCTCCCACCCTGCCTGCGGCCACGCGACTGGCGCGCTTGGCCGCGCGACTCTCGATCCTCTCGGGGAGCCGCTGGAACTTGGGGCGGCCCTGGACCATGCCGCGCAGCTCGTCGATGTCCTGCTGGCTGATGTCCCCAAGGTCGCTGTTGTCCGACGCCTGGGACATGTTGCCGTCATCATCAGGATCTTCACCCTGAGGATGGATTGCTGCTGCATGCTCACGACCTGCGGCAGCCGCCGGAGCTCGAGTTTGAATCAAGGCCTCGGCTGCCTGAGCCTGGTGATTCTTGGCGCACTGCAACTGCTGCTCGAGCTCCTGCACCTTGGCATCAGCGGCTTGGGCATGGATGGTTGCTCGCTCGGCCGTTGTCTAGCGTAGTTTGAACGTGGCGGAAAGATCTCTGGCAGTAGGTTGGGTGGCCGCAGCCGCGTTGGCCTTGACCTGCTCAACTGCCCGTGGGGCGATCGGAAGCGGCCCTGACTTGGCGAGGAGCTCGACCACCTGCTCCAGGGTGTACTGCTGCTCGGACTGTGGCACGTCATGTGGAGCAGCGCCAAGAAGATGACCACACGTACAAAGCGGATTGTTCACAGACGACATAGTTCTTGGTTTTGCGGTTCCCGCGCGTGGGCGGAGACGAGACATCACCCCAGCTCCAATCCTTTCAGTGACGGCCCATCGCGGCAGGCGACAGCATTGAAGTGAATGGGAGTGGGAGGCCAGCAGATCTTGTGGGCGGCTCGCCTCGAGCCAGCCCCTCGGCTGCGGGCAAGCACGACGCCGCAGGGCGCGGTCTCGTACTTGAGCCAAAGTGGCTACGGCTCCTTCTCCTCCTGCTCCTCCTCCGCCCCTCCAAGCCTCTCCTGGCCTGGCTGGCAGGGTCTGCCAACGGCGGATCCAGAGCACAGTGCGAGCCCAGAGCCCAAAGCCTGCATTTGGGCCTGTTTCATGATACTTGGCAGTGGCTCCCTGGGGAGGAGGAGGCAGAGGAGGAGGAGGAGGAGGACATGAGGAAGAGGAGAAACATATGAGGAGGAAGGAGGGGAGTAAACGGGGGATGAACGAGGAGATGGAGGAGGAGGACGGCGGCGACTGCTACGATGGCGACGACGACGAACGGGAGGAGGAGGATGTATATGATCAGTAAGAGTGGGATATCGTGAAGTACCCCAGGTCTAGGGCGCCAGTTCCCCCAGTGCATATTATGTGCATGTTGCGCTGTTTTTTTTCAGTCGACGCATCTTCTGGCGGATGTTTACTTTGTGGACGTGTTGTTGCTCCTTGCGTCGATTTGGCACTATTTGGGGAGGTGGGAGGAGGAGGGGAACGAGGATTAGGAGGATGGGGACGAAGGACTGTTGAGGGATGTAGCGGGAGGAGGGATGAAGCAGGAGTTGGGCGAGACGGATGAGGGTAACGATGAGGGGGACCAGGGGGAGTAGCAGCAATCACAAGAGGGTGAGTAGGAGAAGGATAATGACCTCCTGCACGCTGCCGAGGAGGGGGGAACAG